GGGGGGGGGGGGGTGAATAGGTTTCCGGATCGTCGGATTTCACAGAAAAAATTGTTCGGATTTCGGATCTGGCGAATATTTTGCACGGATTTGCGGATCTTTTTAATACAGCGGATTGGGGATTTATCTAATATTTTGGATCGGATTGGGGATTTAGCTTGAAATTTAGTTCAGATTCTGGATTGTGACTCCATAGTAGAGCTTTTAGCGGATTCAAATTTAGACAAAACCATTGTCGGATCGCGGATTTTGCTTCAAATTTGGTCGGATCGGCGGACTGTATATCCCTATTCATCCCCCCCCCCGAAAAAAGTTTCCTTAGCTGTTCTCTGCAAAATATAACAAGAGGTGACATATCCATTTCCAGCCGATACCTTCATGAGTTTAGGATGGAACTTTTATTTCGAGCATGTCTTATACTTCTTTTTTCTGTTTTGGTGTTATGTATACTCAGGTGAATATGATGTTTGTGATGTTACTCTGTGTGCTTCCCGGTGTGGATATACACTCAAAGTAACATCACAAACATCATGTTTTATACTTTTCTCAAGGTGACATTGATAAGAGCTTTGTTTAACTTTGATACAGGCAGTCATTGTTACCACAACAGTGAACATATTGCGACAACTCACTTTTGAACCAGTTGGTCAGGGCGAATATGCTAAGCATGAACAACGAAGAGGCTTCAAGCCATCGAAGACATGAATATCGCACCGTCGACCAAAATCTTCCTGCAAACCCAAAGACGATTCTGGGAGGACGAACACTACAATATCCAAGGTGGCTTTTCCAAGACCAACCTCCCTATCGGCCAAATACATTACGTCAAGCCGGACCCGAAATATGTCAAATCCACGAAGCAAGGAATAATTATGGTTTACATTTGGAACAATGACGCACTGATTTTTGGTTCCTTGAGGCCTGATCAAGTTAAACAGGAGGCAATTGAACAAATCGCAAAAATCCACCCGGAAATCAAGAAGGAAAATATGGTTGAAAAGTCTGTGGTCCATGCTTGGTACAACAAGCCCTCTTATCAAGGTGCCTTTGGCTTTTTGAAGACCAGTCAGTTTAACAATGTCAGGTAGGACTCAGAGGAAAATTGTATTTATCTCGCACAAAACCAATTCCTAATGCTTGACATTTGTGATATGAAGATTTTAATCAATTTATTACTGTAATTTAAATCAATCTCAAATGAAGGGATGATTTCCATGCCGCACTCAACCTTCATATAAATTCATGCGCCTTTCCTGTAGTTAAACCGAAAGAATGCGACCAAAAAATTGGCAACCAAAAACTAGATTTTGTTTCCACGCAATTTGTATTTCCAATCATTTTTACTCTCCCCATATTATTAAACAAAGTCTGAAATTATCGATTGATATATTACAGTGATTTTGTTTCGTTAGTGCAGTAGCTTGATGACGTTAAATTTTTGTAAAACCGTCATAGTTTGGAAAAGCAGATATTTTCTCAATGAAATATCTCTGCGACCCACATACCACAAAATATTACACACTCAATGTCTGCTCCGGCGGAAAATAGTTTGTTTATAGTTTTCCCGAGAGTCTCAATGCTTCCCGAGAGGAAGTCGGGGGAAACATTGAGAGCTAACTATATCCCAGGGGAACAGACGCGACAAACAAAAATCAACATTGAACAACATTCATACAACAATTGTATTTCGTAACAAAAACTCTACAGTATAGTGCAAACGAGTTTAAAATTAAAAGAACCTACTTAAACCGTTTCAAGGTCGGGGCGGACAACAATTTTTCACTTTTTTTTACATTGCATTTATCTGAAGTCATGTGACCACAAATCAGCCAATTACGTTTGGTGTTCACCCTTGCTATATAACAAAAGTATTGTAAATTGATACCTACTTGCTTCCATTGTTATTGAACGACTCTTTCGCCCAACTAGAGTGGAAATGGTCTGAAACTACTATTTTCGGACTTATTGATTACCGTGTTAATTAAAATCGCCTTACCGTGTTAATTAAAATTTGTATTAATTAAAATCTGTTGTTTCTGTTTCATCTTCTTGGTTCAGTGTTGTAAACAACTTAGTATTAATTTTTCTGTGTGTGATTTTATGTTACGTACTCAGGTGAATATAATGTTTCTTGATATTACTCTGAGTGTGTATCCACACCGGACAACCTGAAAAGTTTGCATGACTACGCTTGTTCAGGGTATCGAACCCGCGATTTTGGGGATATTAGCCAATGCTCTGCTAACTGAGCTACGAGTGTGTGGTATTTCGGAACTAAGTCTATAGTGCATTCGATAACAATGTGTTCTTATGATCAAGATATTTTATTTGTCATGTTCGATCAGGATAATCTTCGCGCTATTTTTAATTTCAATCCGCACCACTCACTTAGTCGATAACATATAATATATGTATCTTTTATTCATCGATATTTATTTTTATTTCTTCGTAATTTAGAACTTTGTGGGAACCCATGGGTAACGTACATTTCGCTGGAGAAACCATATCATTTGCCGCTGGTTGGATTCAAGGTGCCTTGGAGAGTGGCCTCAAAGCCGCATATCAAGTTTACGCCCGTGGCAAGAAGAGAACACCCGGAAGTAATTGACATTAAATCATTTTTAGAAGAGAAATAATTGACATTAAATCATTTTTAGATAATTAGGTTTCAACAATGCACGATGTATTTACTTTGATGGCCTTCAAATATTGACAGTCGTCGAATTAAATAACTTGAACAAAATGAGTAATTTTTGAAATTTGTTATGCACCGATTTAGCTTTAGAATTTGCACTAAACTTTGTACTCTGATTCAATTTCTAATTAAATCATTTTATTGTTATAATTTTGTTTTTTATTTTATATCGACTCGACCTATATTCTTTTAAATGTGTGAGATGTTTTGCCCGACCAAAAGGGCGTGGCGGAAGTCGCGCCGGATGGACATTAGAGACCTTACGATTTCACGACGGCAACGCGACGGCAACGGCTACCAATACAATAGATCATTGAAAAGAACTGAGTAATTACAATATATGAACAATTTAGACATTGTCCTCGCTCTGTTTACAACGCTAAATCACCGCTTTTCACCTCTTGATTCAACGGCTGCATTCCTAGCCGCAACAAGTGCAACTTCAAACTGTGTTTAGCAGAACCCTTCCCAACTATAAAACCCATGTCTTCAACTTCTAAAACTGTATTAAATTCACACGATTGATAATATACCACGAACTATTTCAAACACTTCCTAAAATCATAAGGTCTCTATTTTTTGGCGAGCGGGGG